TTTAATTCAACATATTTATCAACACTCATCGATTCAATCATTAAAACTAACTTTTGAAAATTTTTCTGCTTTAAATTGAAATTAAAAATAATAATATTTTAATAAATATATTGTAAACTATGTTAAATAAGAAAGTATATTAATTATTGTCCAAAATAAAAGCTAGCACAATTAACACATGTAATTTTTTAAACTAACTAGAAATATTTAATCTTGAAATTGTAGCAGTATACATACGTTAAATTGAGGCTCTGAAGATGATGAAGGATTGAATAAATCGCTTGAGTTGTCATTTCCCATTCCACTAATATCAGCTCCTGGCTTAGGTCGGTGTCCAACAATATGGCCCCAACTACCATGGGTTACACCAAAATTGTGGCTTCGCACAATTGGAACAATGAAGATTCCCGATTCTCAAGAAATTGGAACAAGCGTTCGGCAGGAAGGCAGGAAAGTTACCGACATTAGGTACAGCGGGAGGGTAATCTTCATTTTGGGGAATGGATTTGCGGCGTGAACACTACAGATAGGTGATGAGAGTGAGGGCATAATGATAATATAATTACTAAATACTAAAATAGTTTTTAATAGCAAGATATATGTTTGGTTACACATAATAATACAACATATATATTAATACAAAGCAAAACATAAATCACATGTACCTTTGTAACAGGTATGAGTTTTGACATTGAAAAAAGTAGGCATACAACACAGATTAAAGTTTCAAGAATCGTCCTTGCAATTCTCCTCACTGTTGCTTGTTCCTCAACCGTGTTTTGGTACTCTTAGGAAATCTCCTTCCACGATTTTTGCTTTTTTAATTCAGTCAAGGGCAAAACCGGCGAAGAAACCATTAATATGTTTGCAATACCACACCCTCCATCTCTTGCAAAACATAAGTGGTAGAATAACAATTCCTAAGCCAAAAACAAATCCCAATTCAATGCTTAGGAAATTCCAGTCAATATATGTTCCATCATCTGAATGTTTATCTTTGGATGGTGGCACACTGCAATTTTTCTTCAAGGGCATCCCACATAATCCTTTATTATCTTTAAAGTAATCTTCTGAAAATGTTTGAAGCTGTCTTCCACTTGGAATTCTTTCTTCGAGTTGATTGTGTGAGAGGTTAAGGACTGCAAGGAAATTAAGATCTCCAAGCTGCTGAGGAATTTCACCACTCAAGTTGTTACTAGAAAGGTCCAAAGATTCAAGATGTTGTAGGTTTCCTAGAGATGACGGGATTAGACCTATGAAACAGTTATGTGACAAGTTGAGGGCATAGAGTGCCCTGAACTCCCCCAAAACCTTTGGTATCTGCCTTTCAAACTTGTTGCATGAAAAGTCAATAGAGGTGAAGAGACTTAAAATTTTCACCAATCGTCTCTCGGAACCTTTAATGGTTGTTGTTATTGCATAACGATAATAGATTCCTTGGGAGAAAATATCCACAGTTGTTGACGTAAAAAGATCCGCATTGGTATCCTGCAGGCAAAGTCCGGGAATTCTCCTGGGAAATCTACCACATCCATCATCCGTGCAATATGAACATGTTGCAGCAGGGATTAGAATGTTATGATCAAGTTCAAAATGAACATCTTCCTCCAAAACAAGGGCTTTGAACTCATCCGAAGCAACCATCATTGCCTCCCAGGTTCGTAACCAACGATAAGGCAGTTCTCCCTTGAAATGATTAGAAGCAAGATCGACAATTTGAAGTGGTGGCCAAGAGGAATTGTCATCTGGGCAAGTAATCAGCCCATGAAAGTTGTTGTACCTCAATACCAAGACTCGCAAACTAGACATGTTCTTCAGATGGCATGGAAAAGTGTCACTAATTTGGTTGTTCCCAAGGTCTAAGACCTCCAAGATTGTACAGTTGGCTAGAGATCTAGGAACTTCCCCTTCTAAGTGGTTTCCATTGAGGTTTAGTGTTTGTAACGAACAGTTACTTGAAAATTTATTAGAGATGTTGCCATTGAGGTTATTTCTACTCAAGTCCAACACCTTAAGAAACTGCATCTCATTTAAGCATTGAGGAATAGTGCCATTTAGGGAATTATTCGACATATCAAGGACTTGAAGATTTGTAGCATCGCAAATTGATTCAGGAATACTTCCCTGAAGGTTGTTGTTGGAAAGAAGGATGAAGGAAAAGGTACTTGAGCTACTGAAGAATTGTATAATAGAGCTAAACTTGTTGCTCGAGTAATCTACATATGCTAAATGTGGCGAAGGCGCTGGTAGTTGACCTTGCAATTTATTGTTACGAAGGTCTAAGACAGACAAATGAGAAAGTTGAACCTGTAGAGATCCTTGCAAATTCACTAGAAAGTTGTAAGAAAGATTTAAGTAGCTAAGAGATTGAAGAGTCCAAATCCAATCGAAGAATATTGAAGAATTCATGCCTCAAGACATTCAAGAGAAAATAAAAAATATTGAAGAATTCATGCCTCAAGACATTCAAGAGAAAATAAAAAATATTGAAGAATTCATGCCTCAAGACATTCAAGAGAAAATAAAAAATATGCAACCAATTGCAATGAAAAATTTGTTTATAACTCATAGGTGTCTTTATGAAGGATTTGTAAGTAATGCAGGTGTTGAGCAAATTCAAGAAGGAAATCAAAATTGGTATTTGGTAACACCTCCATGTTAACCATATACAGGAGCATGGTTGTTCGAACAAGGTCTACTCAGAAAAATAATCTTCAAGGGAAGAGAGATTAAGTATTTGTTCATGTTCTTCCCCAAATAATCAAAGATTCGCTCAGATGGGAATTGGAATTTTGTCAAAATATGAGATTTTGTCTTGAAGTCTACAGCACACCACCAGAATGGGGAGAAGGAATCACTTTCATACCTAGTTTTCATGTAGTTGGACTAAAAAAGAATTATGGATGGAATCTTCTAGCACAAAGAGAAACGATGGCCTATGACGAAAAAGAAAAAGAGTTTCTTGCCAAAGCCAAGGCCAAAGCATTAATAAAAATGGTCACAATTCTTAGAGAAAGTGAGTATCTATGATGGAAGACATTTGCAGCTACTAAAAGAATAATTTTCAAAAGAAAATGAAGGAGGAGTTCCCAAGGAATCGGTTAGCAACCCAAAGATTCAAACATAGTGTGGACAACTCAACCCTTGAAATCATATATCAGTGCAGAAATCACATGGAAAGATATCTCGACTTGTTAAAAGTAGTGAACCAAGGTACAAATAAGGAAGCACAACTAGTCACAATATGGGATGAAGGACAATCTTTAGTAGGAACAGAAGGGTCAACATCCAAGACCAAAGAAGAGGAAATGATAATAGAGCCCAATAATGAAGAAAATATCTTAGAAGATGACAACTATGATGATAGCTCATACTATGAAAGTATGATAGATGAAGAGTGGTACAACATTAAAAACATGATGGGAAAATAAAAGTCACTATATAATTGAACTACCCTCAAGAATGTTTGAAGTCTAGATTTGAAATCCAAATAATTGTACTAGGACATTATCTCTTAGTAAACTATGTATGAAATCCAAAGTTGAAGTTTGTCCATATTGCCTATAAAAAGGGCATGGACTATGTCTTGCAGATAGAGTTAAAATTGGAGTGTTCTACATCTTGTGAAAGAAAAGAGAGTTCTGAAAATCCTTAGAGTTGAAGTGTGAAGTGTGTAAAATATTAAGTGTGTACTACCTACATTATCTATAATATAATTGAGTGTTCATTTCTATAAAACCTTCACTGAAATCTTGCCAAGTTATTGTCTCTTAAAATCTTAAAAATCATTTAGCTCATAACTTTGTGTATGGATCTTATTGAGCTACTTGTTGCCAAGGTGAAAGCCATAAGGAAGGCATGCTGGCGTTAAGCTCTTAAAGTGAGGCACGATAATTTGAGTTGGTGATCTTCAAATAGGCAGTAGATGAAGCAAAGTGGGTTTTAGGTTGAAGGTAAGACCTTTTGATAGAATTATTACATGTTTAATTAGAAGTATTGTTGAGTGTCTTTGTTATTAATACCTATCTTAGAATTGTAGAACGAAGATGTATATATATATTGACCAAGGTATGAGTTTATGAATTCTACATCACAAAGATTGGCAATTACAGTTAGTGCTTTAGAGTTAAGAAATAATAAAAAGCTTAATGAAGAGATCACCTCTTTAAAAAGACTAAGATTTAGATGTCAACAAAATGCAGAAGAATGGGATCAATTGAATAGTACTAGAAACTTGGAGGAAATAATATTTGAATTAGAATTTATAGATGAATTAATGAAGTTATTAGAAGCTACAATTAGGGCTAAACAAACAAAAAGAACTATTGATGCATGTAGAAACTAATAGTAATGCGACAGTTCATTTTAGATTATGTAGATGATGTTAGATTCTATAATCACCAATGTTAATATTATAGGAATAAAATAGTAAGAATTTTAGTAGAAATTAGTAATATAGCGGATCTTGAAGAATATCATTTACCAAAACTCATGCAAAAATTGGAAAATGCTGTAGTAGATTTAATAGCATATTTAAAAATATTGAAGTAGGCTAAGCAAATGTTATATTTACTAGCAACATAAAGTGTATTAAATTTGTATAATATAAGTTGTGTAATTGTATCATTATAAAATAAGTCCATTTGTTGGTGAAATTTATTTTTGTATTTGTGTTTGTGTAATAGAGTTTGTATTAGATAGAGTTTGGTATTAGAGCCAAGAGTATCAGAGCTTTAGGGCTTAGGTGAAAATTTTAAGTTAAAGGACTTGTTAAGAAGAACCAAAAATATTAAAGTAACCGTTGGTTAACCGTCAAAGTGAAAAAGCTAGTTAAAGGGTTAACACCTTTAAAGATACTAAGCCAAAGGGCTAAAATTTTTGACTTGTAACTTGAAGGGCTAAAAGCTTTAGAAACGTGAAGGTTTTTTAGAGATATAAGCCTGCCCGTATAACTCAGAATTACAAAAAAAAAAAAAAAGGAGGCAGTGCAGGAGGACAAAGTTCAGAGTGTCTGCAATTAACATGATCCTTCCGTGCAAAGAAGTAACCGACTAATGATCATGTAAGGCACGGGACGGCGACCAGAGGAAGTGTAGAATAAGATGAAAAACTGGGAAAGGGGTAGAGAATGGGATGATAGCCGACAAAGTAAAACGCGTGTAGACATTTACATTATGCTTTAATTTGGGGTAACGTTGTAGACTTTTGAATATTAGCCTTCTCCGTCGGCTTCTGTCTGCTCTATGTTTTATCCTCTTCTAGACTTTGTTCCTTCTGAATTTTCCAACTTAAGAAAAATCAAAACCAATGATTCCTCCATTATTGTGTTCAAAGATTGGTTATAATTTCTCTTGGTATGCCAGTGGATTAGTGGTTAATAGATTGAACGTGCATATTGAAGATGTTGATTTCAAATTTTGAAATGAATAGAGAAGAATTTAGGAAAGCTTATTTGTGATTGTATATATAATAATAATAATAATAAATAGTTAGGATGTCAAGGAGCCTTTAACTTGAGTAAGGTCAATAGCAAAAACCAATTTCAGGATAAGAGATTCATAGAAAATGTACTTCCGTACAAACTTCTCTTACCAATCAATTTTCAATCCACAATTATCAATGAAATGGATTCATGTGCAAGGATTGGAACAAGTCTTAGCATAATTTACTCATCTTTTTTGGTCCAAAAATCATTTACGTAATTAATTAGATATTGCCTCCAGCCACAGGGAAAAAAAAATTATGGTCACATGAATAAAATGCAAGCTTTAATACTCACCAACAGTACTAAATTGTGGTCTGACCAGTTGGGTAAGACGGAGCCTGAGACATTTTCATCCAATTTAAAAAAAAAAAAAAAAGACTTGGCATCGTAGATATTTCCAATCCTTTAAAATTAATAGTTGATTTTTTTTTTAATTAGAATTTAAACTTTTAATAAATTGAAACACTCCCTCGTAGGCACCTCATAGGCAAGGGTTGATCACTTTTAGGAATGAGTATAAAAAGCTTCTTTAAGAAAAAAAAATTGTGAGAAAAATCTTTAGAGTTTGGCTCCTTGTTTAGTTTATATCTATATTAAGCGTAGTTTCAAAGTTTAAAATCTTTCTGATTAAATAAGGTTAAACGTCAAATTTAATATCTAAATTTTTAATTTTAAATAATTTTAGTTTTTAAAGTATTTTTAATGCGGACCAGGACGAGTATTGAAGCTAAGAAGATCAGGAAAAGAGATGGAGAGCACTCGGGCTTCGGCAAGGAGCGCGGCAACCAGGAAAGACAGTGGCTATAGACAGCGGCAAGGATACAGGAACAGGTATGCAGATTACAGTTCACAGTTTTCTGGATGGGCATCGACTTTCTTCTTTTATAACTTCCCAGAGGAATTAGATGCAAAATTTCTATGGAATAGCTTTCAGATGTATGGCAAAGTCGTTGATGTGTATATTCCGAGTAAACGTGATAAGAGAGGGAAGGGTATGGTTTTGTGCGACTATCAGAGGTCAAGAATGAGATTCAAATGGAGAGGAGACTAAATGAGATATGGATTGGCTCGTATAAGATGAGAGTGAAGATTGCAAATGAGAGACAAAGGAAATCATCATTGTCTAGGAAGGTGCAAGGTGTGCTTAAAGTCAGTGGATCAACAAGCATCATGAATAGGTTGGTTCAACCAGGGCAGTCATATGCTCAAGCAGTGAAGGGCCAAGGAAAGAGAGAGGATAAGGCTCCAGAACAATCACAGGAAAAGGAAAGAAAAGAAGCCCCGAAAATGGAAGTTGTCAAAACAAGGATACAAGAGAATAAGGAAGCAGAAAAAATAGAGAAGACTATTGAATACATCCCATCGGGTGATGAGTTGAAATGGCTTGAGGGTGGCATGGTGGCAGTGGTGAGGTCAATGGCGTTGGTTTCTGAGATTCAAGAGCAATTGGATGCAGATGGAGGCTCAATCTCGTTATCACCAATTGGGGGAAGACGGATGCTATTAACTGAGAAAGTTATAGGGTCCTTATCTGATTATATGAAGCATAATGAGGAGTTGTTTGACATGTGGTTTGAGTCGATAACTCCATGGGAGAAGGCTCCAGAGGAGAAAAGTCGAATGATGTGGGTGCGCATATCGGGTGTGCCATTAAAAGCATGGGGAGAGAGGTGTTTTCAGATGATCGGTGAGACAATCGGAGAAGTTCTGTTGGTGCACGAGGACACAAAGAAGAAAGCAATATTATGGGATGGAAGAGTTCTGATCTTCTGTTCGGAGTCTAGTAAAATCTCTAATCTAGTCAAGCTGAAAGTGGGTGAGCAGGTGTATGAGATAGAGATTGTTGAAGAGGAGTGGCGCTCTGATCCGGACTGGTGGTTATCGGAGATTGACCGAAGAAGCGACCTGGAAACGAAGTCTGATTTCTCAAACTCGTGGTGTCAAAACGAGGATCCGGATTTGGATATGGATGTGATTGGCAATGGTGAGGATGTAAGAAACGGTTCAGAGCATTTAATGAAGGATTTGGTGTCAAATTCAAATCTGAAAATTGCAACGGAAATAGAGAGTGGTATTCAAATAGTGCAAGAAACAGAATTGGAAGGAGATGCAAGCTTTGGGCTGTCCAAGGAGATTGGGCCACAAAGAGTGAGTTTTGTTGGACCAATAGAAGGTAGTGGGCCGACCATCAAGTTGGGCTGGGGACAGACAAAGGAAATCAACTTGGAGGAACCCTTTTTAGATGCACAAATAGAGGTGGACCCATCGGTAATGCAGAAATCGACAAACACAACAAAGGGGAGCAAAAAACAGAGACTTCTTCAAGATTGTTACCTAGAGAGCATGGAGGAGATCTGGGCAAAAGGAGCACCGTGGGTAACACCCAGAACAAAGCAGCAACTGGCACGAAGAAAGGGATCTAGCCAAGCCGGGGATGACAAGGTACACAACGCATCTGTTGTTTCTATATCAGATGGATGTATTGAAAATAGAAATAAGGTGTTGCAGAGGGAGATGAATATGCATGAGGTGCGTCGGTTGATGGGGGTGGGGAAGAGATTGGGTCTTAAGTTCGATAGTAACAAGGAGCAGATTCAATCAAAGTTAATAGAGGCAGTAAATCGAGAAGGGGCAGAGAGGAGAGACGCGAAAGGGAGGTAGGGGCGATTGTGATGAATGAGCTTTGTGTGATTAGTATTGATTAATGAAATTTGTGTCTTTTAATGTAAGGGGCTTGGGTGGGTCATTGAAAAAAAACGAAGTGAGAAGGTTGGTTCAAGAAGAGAAGCCGGATTTTCTGTTCCTGCAGGAAACAAAGTTAGAAAAAGTGGATGTAGGTATCTGTAGACAGTTATGGAATTCAGATGAGGTTGATTGGGTTGCAAAGGGCTCTTCCGGAGCTTCAGGTGGTTTACTATGTACGTGGGATAGTCGGCGGTTTGTTAAGAGGGAAGATTTTTCTGGTGATGGGCTCGTGGGACTGGTAGAGGAATGGGGAGCTAATAAAAGGCAATATTCTTTAATTAACGTCTATGGTCCAAATGATAGACAGAAGAAGGCTAGTTTGTGGGAGGAACTGAGGAAAATGGTGACAGACAAGGAAGGGTGTTGGTTGATAGTAGGGGACTTTAATGCAGTCAGAGGGCCTGAGGAGAGACGAGGTAGAACAGGAGAGAGCCCAGACATGAAGGATTTTGATGAGTTTATTGTGACAACTGATTTGGTGGATGTTAAATTGTCGAATAAAAGTTATACATGGTACAAGCCAGATGGCACAACAAGGAGTAGATTGGACAGATTCCTATTGAGTACGGAGATGAGTAATATGGAAGGAGAGTGGATACAACAAGGATTGCCAAGGAATATCTCTGATCATTGTGCTATTGTGTTGAAGTCCAGAACAACAGATTGGGGACCAAGACCCTTTCGGGTTTTGGATGCATGGCAACAACACCCTGATTTTAAGAAGTTTGTAGAAGATAAATGGAGGGAGATGGAGGTGGAGGGTTATGCAGGGTATAAGTGCCAGCAAAAACTGAAATTGCTAAAAGGTTTTTTAAAGGGCTGGAACAAGGAAGTCTTTAGGAACATGGAAGCTCAATATGAGCAAGCTGTAAAAAAGATTGAGCAAGTTGATATGCAGAACGAGATATCTGATCTGGAAGATGCTGAGATTGTGAAAAGACAAGAAGGTTTTTCTGAGATGTGGGATGTTTTGAGAAAGAAGGAACTTATCTGGAAGCAGAAGTCAAGGAGTAAATGGGTGCATGAGGGAGATGCAAATACCCGTTTTTTTCATAGAGTTGCAAAAGGAAGAAGAGCACAAAACAATATTGCGGGATTAATGTGTGATGGAGCATGGATTGATGATCCAGATTTAGTAAAAAATGAGATAGTCAGATATTTTAGAAGCTTATTTCAAGGAGAGTCATGGAATAGACCCAAGCCTGGGGATATTAAATGGTTATATCCCCGATTCAGTCCCTCAACTTTCATTTTTGAACTAAAACTACCCTCGAACTTCAAATAGTACTAAAAAAATCCTTGAACTTCAATTTTTGGGACCAATTTCGTCCTTCCATCAGTTAAGTGCTGACATGGCAACATTTCCCGTTAACAAATTCAATTTTTATTAATATTAAATATTACCTGGAAATAAAATGAGTGATGTGGTATTTTTAATTATAAAAATATTGTGATTTGGCACCAAAAATATAATTTAATAAATAAAATTTTCTTTTTTTTTTTTCTTTCCTTTCCTTTCTTTTTCTCCTTCTTTTTCCTTTCTTTTTCTCCTTCTCTTTCCTTTTCTCCTTCCCCTCCCCTACTGGGTTCGAAGGAACCCAGCACCAACGCCTGGGTTCCTCGAACCCAGGCGCGAGTCGAGGCACCAGGCGTGTTGGGTTCAAGGAACCCAGGCCTGGGTTCGATGGAACCCAGCACGCTTGGGTTCGAACGTTCCTCGAACCCGCCTGGGTTTTTTTGTTATGTTTCTTTGTTGGCTTGCAGTCATACTTGAATGGGATTTAGAGTTTTGTGTGGTTTTTGATTGCTTGAATTTCCAGATCTAGTTACTATTGATGTTGATTGAAGGAATGTGGTGTTTTTTTCCATTTTTCTTTGTAGATCTGGTATACATTTGTAGAGGAATTGATTTTTTGAATCAAATTTATTGAGTTCTATTAGGGAGAAGGTTTGGGGAAGAAGTAGATGGTGATTGGAGTGGTAATAGATGATCGGAGCAATGAGGGATGACCGGAGTAATGAGGGATGATCGGAGTAATGAGGGATGACGTGGACTAGTTATTTTCCACGTAATTAAAGATTTCAAACAAGAATTGATTTTGTGGCAACTTAA